GGTGGCAGCTAGAGCTAGGACGAATTAAGGAGATACATGTATGGGAGCTAGATTGTCGTTATAACGGGGCATGGAATCTAGCCAGTAATGAAATTAAGATGAATAGGTCATTCGTGTTCGCTCCTAGCCGGGACATGACATTGCCTGAAATCACCAAAAATAAGAGCAATATAAATAATAATATGATCCTTTAAAATGCCTAAAAGGCTGAAAATGTGCATTTAAGTAAATGGAAGCACAAATATAATGCTCTTCGGACCAACTAAACAGGCCAGCAACATCTTCCAGAAAACCATCCAAGATACAGTTGGGATCACATTCATTGCACTGTGGTAATCAAAGGAATGTCAAGTGAAAAGGCATAATTACTCGTATCAAGCTATTTTTTAGAAAGAGCTTGTAAGCAACTATGACTCAGTATGAAGTATTCAAGTCATCAAACATGAAATCAATCTTTGCAGAACTATATTGGTGTTCCATGTACTAGTCCTTTACATATCAGCTATATGTCCAAATTTACTGCTCTACAGGTAGCAAATGCAAAAAGCAATTGGGATTTGATCTCAGATCTTGTGGGGGGGGAAAAAGGTACGGACGCAGATTTATGATCTTGCTATTTCATTAGAGCTGTATGAATGCCATCGCTACAGTATAAAACTGAGGAAGTGACTAGAACACTTTGATAATTATACATGAAACAAAATACTAAATTCAGATGCATATAAATTATGATATGAAAGTGCATCAGCCGAGGTTGCTGTGAACGTTGACGTTGGTACATGCATGATTTCAGATCAATCTGCACAAAGAAAAAATGGCAAATGTCCATCATCATTCCCAGGCGAAGCCTGTTTCGTGCACTCACATGATCCTTCTTGCTACTTGTATGTTCAAATAGTAATTATTATAAAAATCGAATTCTGTAACACAACTAAGCTAAGAACTCAAGTTCAGTAATAAAATGAGATCTGAATATATTCATCATTTTCTCTAGCTGAATACACACATTCCCATTATCAATTAGAACATTCAGAAGGAAAACCAATATTGCTCATGCTACAGAACCACGCAGGCACCGAGTAGGCGAAGAGGCAAAGATTATTTCCTTCTAGGAAGCAGTCAAGGCAGCAGGTGACAACACCGCCATCACGCATAGCTTCGCGGCACTTCGAGCAGAACTGAAAGGAGGAGGAGGACGACGACGACGAGGACTCGAGGAGGACGACGCTGAAAAGCTAGTGAAGTCAGAGGCGGCGGACTGCGCTGAATCGATGGTGAAGTGGATCACCTTGTCGTCACTTTCGTAGATTCCTGTATGTACACTCATCAAGTTAATAGAGAGAGAGACACAAAAGAATTACTACTTTTTGTTTAATTATTAACTAGGTCGCGGTTCCACAACCAAATCCTGCCAACAGCAACGCCCGAGTGCAAAATCGCTTGTGTACAACGCCAACATTACATACCTCGGAATTCGTGCACTCCATCAGGACAAAACTAAACTAACCTCCACGACCCTCTTTTCTTTTTAATCTCTACAACTCAAACATTCATAACTATTCCGTCCACATGTGCGACATCAAAGCCGCTCGCTCCCATGCATCCCTGGGTGCGATCCCGCGGCTTTGTAGTTTCTCCGCGCGCCGTGCGTCTCCGCAAAATAGAAGGAAGGTAACCACCGCCAAATAGAAGGTAATCACCGCCATAAAAGGAAGGTAGATCGGCCTACTATTCGTGAGTCTATCTGCGCCGCTAGGTGGGGCCACATTGATCCCGCGATCGCCCAGTAGGAAAGAATGCTGCGAGACACGTTGATCGTGGATCCTGCTCCCTTCCTCATGCGATCCGTGGCTGCCTCGGTCTCCTCCGTGACGGCGCAGGAGCGCACGACACCCCGGCCCCCGCGACTCGCCGCTCCCCTCCCCTCCGCGGCATCGCTCCCCTCCCTTCCATGACTCCCCGCTTGGCTGTGCTGCAAGCCGCCGACCACCGTGAGGGACCACAACACCTCCCCCACGACGCCTCACAGCAGGAAGGAGCCAGGCTGCTGCTCGATGCCTTTCCCTTCTCCCACCTCCTGTTGATGAGCCCAGCCACTAGCGATCCTACTCCCTTCCTCATGCGATCCGTGGCTGCCTGCTGACGACCCCAACCGCCAGCAAGGTCGCGGCTGCTCGCTGACGAGCCCAGTCGGTCGTGTCGGGCCCTGTCGGGTTCATAAACCCAGGGTCCCTTGGGGACCTGCTTCCCAGCAAAAGTTCGGACCAGCAGACGACGTTGCGAACGACGCGCAACTCCTGGGTCGGCCCAAAAACCTAACGACAGGCCAGAAGGGCGATCTCCGACCGGAAGGCCTGGCCAAAGAGAGGACCGACGCTCGCTTCAGACTCTGGCCCGCCTCTCCGACCGGAAGGCCTGGCCAAGGAAGAACGACGCTCGCTTCCGACTCCGGCCCGCCTCTCCGACCGGAAGGCCTGGCCAAGGAGGAACGACGCTCGCTTCCGACTCCAGCCCGCCTCTCCGATCGGAAGGCTGGCCAGCTCGCCTCTGACTCCAGCGCTCGCTTCTGATTCCGACCCGCCTCTCCGCCCGGAATGCCTCGCCAAGAAGGGATGACGCTCGCCTCCGACTCTGACTCGCTTCCCCTGACCGGGAATACACCGAACCTCTGCTTACAGCTCTTCTCCGAACGGGAGGCCGGAGCCGACTGGGGAACGACCGACCGGGGACGCCCGCTCAATGAAGACCCAGGAAATGGACAGGGCAAGTAAGGCAGGGCGCTCTAGTCAAACGCAATATCAAGAACCGTACCCTGCACACCTGCAGGATGGTACCGTCAAGTCATGTCAGAAGGGTACTTTATATCCTTCCAGACATGTCAGAACACTAACAGTGTTATGGGCGCCGACATTTATCCTACAGTATGGTAGGCACCGACATCGCCATACCAGAAGATCACGATGGAGCCTATCACATGCATCCGGTATCAACAGTGTTGCGGGCGCCGATAAATCGCCTTGTACCTGACGGCGTGGGCAACAAGACTAGGTAGCACGCACACACTCTTCCTCTCACACTCTCTCTTGTAAAGCTGTCCCCTTCATCTATAAAAGGGGATGCGCTCTCTCCAGAAGGAGGACAATCGATTGACAGACGATTCGAACACCAGCGGATCGAACAACCTACGATTCGAACGATTCCAATAGAGCACATACTCAAATACTTAGCGCATATAGGAGCTCCCGTCTCTCTCGGCCCTTCGGTCTAGAGTCCGACCGGACCTCTTGCACCCCCGTCTTACTCCCTCTCGTTTGGTAACCCCACAGCAAACTTTGAGCACCTAGGCTCAGGAATAAAGTCTCCGACCGACTCAAACTGGACGTAGGGCACGTAGCCTGAACTAGTATAAACCCTGTGTCATTGAGTGTTAGGCCACATCCGATCACAACGTACGACAAAACTACAAATATTTACGTGTTGGTCACTTTCTGCACCGACAGTTGGCGCCGTCCATGGAGAGGACGCCGTACATTCACACTTTTGGTCATCGGATGGCCAACCTTTCCGCCACCTTAGCCATGGCGGGCTCAAGCGATACGACTCGCTTCGACTCACTAGAGTTTCCCACACTCCCACCTGTTGGGATGTGGGTTCCACTCGTCTTCGAGTCGTCCAAGGCCTTCCTCTTCGGAAGCCTGGACTTCGGAAGCCTGGACTTCGTCGCCGACCGGCTCGGCATGCTTCGCCTCCGAGAGGAGGCACTTGTTCTGGCACCCGTCGGAGGGGCATCCTCCATCGGCTCCGGGACTCCCGGCGACCTCACCGATGAGACGCCTACGCTTCGCTCCGAGCCCACGCAGAGCTCAAACCCAACTATGAGTAACGTACACTTTGTTATTTACTCGCTATTTACTATTTTTCGCCGATTCTCCGGAGGGACCCCGTTGTCCCTGCCGCGACCGTCATGCGACCGGTTCCCTTATGGCCTCGCGTCCCCCGCGGACGCGTACGCATGAGGGCTCCAAAAGTTGTTGGCTCCACCCCCTCTCACATCCGAATTCGTGGGGATGGCAGACTACGCTCCCGCCTCTTTTCACAACCTCATGAATGATGATGTCGAGAGCGACGGCTCCAGCATCGGCGACGTCGTGGCATCTAGCCACCCTCTGTCCCGCGAGTGCGCCATGGCGGACGCACTGGGACAGCCACCGGTGGTGGTGGAGTCTCTTCAGACCCACACCCCTCCGGACCCTCGCGCGGATGCCCTTGCGTGCGCACGGCGAGGAGCTACGACAAAGGCAGCAGAACCAGCCGCCACCTGCGCCGGCGCGCTCGGCACACCACGATGTGCCCCGTGCGCGTAACCCAGCGAGCGGAGCCCAAGGTCGCGCCCGCCAGGTTCAGCGCAACATCATCGATGGGGGGACGATCCCCCATAGTTCGCTCGGGCTAGTCAGAACATCGCCGCGGCGGCGATGCTTCTGCGCGGCCTTCCTAAGCCTGACGACCCCCAGGAGTAGGCAGTCCACCGGAACCTCCTGGCACTGGTGGAAACCGCCACCATTCAACAAGTAGAGAGCTCCGCGTCGTGACACCGACTCACGCCCTCACTCCCCACCAGGGGAACGGGGACTAAGGATGAAAACGGAAAGAAAATATCCCGAACCGAACCGCATCGTTTTCTACATTTGACCTGAGCGAATTCGTATTTTCGGACAAAATACGGAATACTAAATTCGAATTCGAAATACAGAATACTAAATTCGAAATCGGATCGAATTCGGTTTAGACTTTGTTGGACCGATTTCTACTTTTCTATATTTTATTCGGAGCGTTCCGTATTCGAAATTCGGTTCGAACCGAATTTGGTCCAGCACGCAAAGGTGCTTCGTCTAAAGGAGTGTGGAAGGCCGAAGGCGGCTGCCTGCTCCGCGCGGTCTCTTCCGTCTCGGAGCGAGCGATCAGTGGCGTCGCCGCGCGGATCCGAAGCGCGCGCGAGAATGCAGGGCGGATCCAGCGGCATCGTCTACGGCGGCCTCAAGTACCAGGCAAGCAAGCAACCGCAGCAGCGCCTGCTGGAACCTTCTAGAACAACTTGTCTTAACCTCTTCCTCCTTTCTCAGCTCTTGCAGGCGCGGTGTATCGCCGACGTGCGCGCGGACGCCGGCTCGACCACCTTCCTCGCCGGCACCCTCAGCCTCAAGGAGGAGAACGAGGTGCGTGTCTCGCGGCCATGAAGGCGCGTCGCGTCTGGTGGGATTGCGATTCGAGTAGTACTTTTCTGTCAGGGGAAATGGCGTGGGATTTGATTTGGATCTCGATTCCTCTGAGTGCGTCCAAGTAGGTGCACCTAATCCGGCTTTCGCCGGCGGAGAGCGAGCTGGTGTGCGATGGCCTCTTCTACCACCCCAACGAGATCTGGGACCTCAAATCATGCCCCTTCGATCACAGGGTCTTCTCCACAGTCTACACGTCTGGTAAAGAACGGAAAAGTTGCCTCTCTGTTCGTGAACATTGCAATTTGCAAATCTGTAGTGTGTGATTTTCTTGTAATTTGGAAAAGTCGTGATGTGAATACCAGGTGAGGGCTACGGTGCGTCAGTTTGGAAAATCCCAGAGGTTAATGGGCAATCAAACTCACCTCAACTTGAGCAGCTCTTTGAGCTTAGTGGGCATACGGGCAAGACTAGACGGTGAACTCCTATTTCTGTTGATTTTTTGGTTGCTCTATAGTTGTGAACTTGTTATGTATTTGGTCGTGCACTTGTTTAATGCTATGCGCTGTGGGTCGGTATTTCGTATTGAATTTTTGCATACCGACCGTGTTCGACATAATTCCGTTCGAATTGGTTCGTTTCCGAAATTCTAGATATTCCGTAAATTCGTGTTCGTTTTTGTGTCCGGCTTGTCCGCTTTCGCTTTCGCTTTCGTATTTCAAATGTAAAAGTAGAAAACGGTTGAGGAGTTTTTCGACCAAGTTCGACCGTTTTCATCCTTAACGGGGACACACCAGATGCATCGCTCCATCCACTCGCCGCTACAGCCGCCGGGCACGAAATAGGACGCCACAGCTGCGCCACAACCTGACCCGGCGCCTGCTCCACACCGGTCACCTGTGCGCGAACACCTCGGGCTGAACCGAGACGCTCGCAGCGTCATCAACAACCGGCGTCAGGCCCGGTATGACGATGACGTCCATCGGGCGGCGGTGAGAACAGGTAGCACGGGCTCCGGCCGGAAGATCGAGGGGACCGGCGAGACGCACCCTAGGCGTGGTCGCCGACCGGACGACCGGAGTCCCAGCCCAGATGGCCAGCGGTTGGGAGCCGGCCAACGCTCGGGGCGTCAGCTGCTGTCCCGACCGCTAGCTCAAGCTAGGGCCGTGTTGTAGCCATGCTCGGGCGTTGGTCGGTCGGGAGCACGGAGCCTCGCCGAGCCCCCGAGCCCCGAATAGAGGCGGTGGGCGAGCTCGGGCCCTGCCCGACCTTGACCGAAGGGTACGCGTGAGCATACCCGATGGGTATAGCCCCGAGTGATCCTGGAGGGAGTCTTGCGGTCGGGAGCCTGTCTCCCGGGGACTTAACATACTCTTATGTTTGACTTTCGTCACCAAGTAAATTTGCTTCAGGCTACAAACCAGGGCTTGTTTGGTTGGAAGCCTGGATGTCTTGCACGGAGAAAAGTGTTGCCTGAGAGTTGTCTGGAATTCTGAAAGAATCTGCCTGGCGAGGCAAGTTGAGAGTTATTCGTTTAGTTAGAAGCCTGGCCTGAGAAAGCTATTCAATAGAGATCGTGTATTTTCTTGTCTAATGGAGAGGTAATTAATTCATTTTCTTAATTAATAATACCTCAAATATACACAAATAAACATACGGTGACAAAATAAAAACAGATAAGTGAATTTTCTTAATTTATAATATGCTTAAATTAATGTGTGTTCTTATTTATCTTTGTATAATTAACATGTATTTTATAATCTGGTTAACCAAAATATATAATTTAGTAAAATTGTTGTCACATGTTTAATATTGGATAATCACGTTTAATAAGATTGAATAGGAAATATATTTCTAGTAAAAAGTCCCGATATGTTTAACTAAAGGATAAATAAGTGACAAAGCTTTTACATAGAAATAATGTTCATTAAGATGTGTTTCATGATTTTCGTAGGTAGTCAACCAACTAAACAACATTATTAGCTCAGGCAACTTCCGTGCAGGCACCAGGCGCTTGTTTTTTTTTTTTTCGACCGTGCCTGGGCACGTATTTCAGGCGCCAGTGATTTTGATGGCTTGGCGGAAGATCCACTTGCCTGGCACAGGCAGCTAACCAGGACACGAACCAAACATGGCACAGGCAGGGTACAGGCAGCAGACCGGCCAGCCAAAATTGCTCCAGGCTCTTAACCAAACAAGCCCTTAGTGCGAGCTAAATAAAAACTTCTGAGATATCACACTTGAACAAAAGGCCAATCTAGGTTCCTAGTAGGCTAGTGCTGATTTGCGAAGACTAGACACATAATTGACACCCAAAACATTTTCTAAAAATAACAGGCTTCTACTCTATGACGCATGCTAAACACTATCATTTTTTCCCCCATTGAATATTCTTCTTTGTTTCCCTGCCAACCATGTATTAGTAGAGAAGAGAATATTCTTATTTGGAGGAAACAGAAAAAATCAATTTTGCAACAATTGCGAACTTTCTGTTACTTCCCTGATATATCAAAAACATGCAGCCTCCTCACAGTTTATTTTTCAGATGCCCCATCAGAAGCCCGAAAACACATAGCAAAACGTACGTGTACGGATGCAGCTATCAAGCAAGCACAGAGAAAAGACCTGGTACCAGAAAGCTACTCACCATACAAAGCATTGCCTTCCTCATGGTGATCAAACTCTGTCTAAGGGTGTCACAATGGACCGGATGTCTGGATCCTCCCACCACGTTTGTTCTAGAGCACAAGAACATGTCACACAACATCAGTAACCAAATGACCACAGCAGTTAGGGGCAATTAAGAACTTGGTGCTTCCTCAGCTTTTCAGCATGACTGAAGACAGGGCGCACCATATGAGGAGCAGAAACTACCTGACCAACGCATTTTAGGGGGGGGACATAAATTCACAAACAACAATCATCAGGAAGCCCTGATATTTGCCCTGAAACCTAAACAACTAGTTGGGTGCTTCAAGTGGCCTTCAAATTATATTTGCCCGAAACCTAAACAACTAAGTGGGTGCTTCAAGTGGCCTTCAAAAGAGCTTGTTGCCTGGATAGTAAATAGCCACCAGTTCTGACGGATTACCTTCAGAATTACAAATAAGAAACAATCCTCCACATCTCTTCACACAGTAAGTACAAACAACAATCATCTCCTCGGTGCTCGCAAAGTCAAATGCTCACAGCAAGGTAATATCGGAGCACACATTCAACGCCATGTTTTATTTCGAACAATCAAAATCCCAAAGAGTAACATCTCTAACAACGAGCACCCCAAACTGACGGCAGCAATAGTATCACAATGTTCTACTGCATTCCAGTGCATCATGTTCTCTGTAGGAGGGCAACACCGTTCTACAACTAAAACCCTAACCAACTGGGAAAAAAACCCCTCTACAAATCCACCTACTACACCCAGGGCTTCGTCAGTTGGTCCATGCCACCCCATTATTCCTCAACCTGATCATTTCACACTTCTTTCCTTCCTTCAGGCCCCTTAGTCCTTGAGCAGCCACGGTCCGTCCTTCCTTTAGACCTCTTCCTCAAGCAGCATCTGATCAAAGTGCCACACCCCTGCACGCAAATAACTCAACAATATCAACTAGGGGTAACTTTGGGCACGAGACATAGCAGATGAAACCAAGTTCAGCGACAGACTAACCATGCCCCTTGCCCACTCTCCTCAGCTGGGCGACATACTTGGAGATCTTGTTTATGGCTTCCACCTTTCAAAAGAAAATCCAAAATTTTCATTCAGCTAAGAATTCCGTCATAAGTAGAGCAAAAACTATATAGAACAAAGTAAGGTTCTGCACAATTTTGTTCCATAATACGGAGCAAAAACTATATACGGAACATTGACCTGCTCCTCGAGGAACTCACGCTCGATGAAGTCTGTCAGCTGAGGATCATTGCACCTTGTTGCCACCTGTTAATTACAGGTGAAAACTGATTAGAAATTGTATGTGGCACAATTGTACAAACAACATGTAGTGACCCAAGTTAATCAATGTTGTGGATGAGGAGTGAGGCCACGGGCAAGGCCCTCTCTAGTAGCTTATCTATGTTGCTTTTGTTGGACATGATTATGGTATTGGCATGTATTTGAACTAAGTGCGTATGATGTTTTAAAAACTATGTTGCTTCCGCTACCGAATTTGAACTCGTGTTGTAATAATTATATTTGATCTCCGATGTATGTTTAAATACTTGTGAACATTAGGTAACATGTGATGTGTGTATGCTGAATCATGTACGATCTTGAATTGTATGTGGCTTATTTCGAGATCCTTCGTGATACTCGATGGACTACCGAATTTATATGTGCTCAAGTGTGAGAGTGCGATTGTCTCAGCAGTTGTCATTGCACTTGTGCTCTTATAAATTGGACGGTTCTGTTACAAGGCTGATCGGAGGCCGGCGGCGGCGAAACGGCCGACTTGAGTCTCCGATCGTGCAGAAGGAAGATCGGAGGCCGATGGTGAAGAAACGGCCAACCGTACCAGGGGAAGGCCGATCGAAGGCCAGCGACGGCGAAATGGCCGACTTGGTTCTTTGATTGTGCAGAAGAACGATAGAAGGCCGGCGGTCGGGAAACTGCCGACACTTTGACGGAAAAGAGGTCGAAGGCCTAGGCACTGCGAAGACCAGTCAAAGGCCGAGGCGCCGCAAGACCAAGCGGAGGCCTAGGGCACTCAACCGTGCCAAAAGGAGGAGGAGGGCCGGCGGCGGCACAAGCGACGAGAAGGTCTGGTGGGCTAAAGGGCCAACTCGACGACAACCCATCAGGAAAGGTGGTTGCAAAAGAAAAAGACTCCAATACCCGAGCGGCACTGGCCTCTTCTTACACGCCACCATGGTGTTAGACTCGGCCAGCCGTGCCCGAGCGGCACTGGCCTCTTCTTCAGCGGCATGAAGGGTAGCTTGAGAGACCCCAAGGTAGATCTCAAGCTGGCCGTTTTCCCGAGTCACCTCCGAATAACGGTCCTGGGCTGCCCTCCACTCTCGGAGGAAGTGCCGGGCATCATCGTCGTTGTAAGAATCGGAAGAATCCGACGACGATGCCGGGGCAGAAGATGCAGCATCAGAGGGCTCACCGGCCGTGCGGAGAGGATGAACACTATCATTCAGGATGAACCTATAAATGAGTTAGAAAAAGTTCATCGCCATGAACAGAAGATATCAATCTCACCTCATACGTCGAAGGCGCTGGTTCAACGGCACGTCCTCCTCTGGGATCTCCTCCGCCGCACATTTGCCTCGGTTGTCCTCGCCGGACATGAAGTTGATTGGATCTACAAGAAGGGGAAGAAGGCCGCTACAGAGTTTGTGAGAGCGGAGAAGTGCAAAGGAATAGGAGCAGTTGCGAATGTAGATGTGTTCGAGGCCGGAGCCCTCGGCTGGTATTTGAAGCCATGGAGCGAAGTGGTGGATGCCTCGGAACGTGCAAAAGGCACACTACACCACAACCCAAAATTAACGTCACTTGGGGGTCGCTAAAAATGTCGATTTAACGTCGGAAGGTTAGACGTTAAAGATTACTAACGGATTGTCGGTCGTTATATCTCGTTTTGGCTACAGACTGTCGGTCGTTAATTCTATTTCACTTCAACGTTAAACGGTCGGTCGTTATATCGTACTTTTAACGACCCACCGCTCGTCGCCGTAGATCCCGCCTAACTTTTTAACGTGGACACACCTGTCAGAAAAAAAATTGGAGCCCGCCATTCCAGCCCGCCAAGGCGCAACACCACATCAGCCCATTTCCCGTCTCCCCTGGGCGCTCACCCTAGTAACCCACAGTCCCTTTCCCCAAACCCCAGCGCAGCACCCCGCCGCCGCTGGCTCCAATCGAAGAAAAAAAAACCGAGGCCACCACCGGTCCTGCACACGGAGCCGCCCCCTGAGAACTGCTCGCCGCCGTCGGTCGGCCACCCTCACCGGTGGCCCCCTAGCCTCCTCTGCACGCTCAGTCAGCGGGCCGGCGACCTCAGGTCGCCCCTGTCGGCGGCGACCTCAGTCCGGCCGCTCCGCGCCGACGACCTCAGCTCGACGCCGTCTCTAGGTCAGCACAGCCGGTGAACTCAGCTCGCCCCTCCCTCCGCCCCCGTCAGTGACCTTAGGTCCCCCTTCCCCACCACGACGTACGGCGCCCCCACCCCCTACATGTTGCTCTGCACCCGCACCCCCATCCCCACCCCCTCCGGGGTCCTCCATTCTTCTGCACTGGCGCCACAGCCAGCTCTCCCCCTATCTCCCTCCGCACGGCCAGATCCAAAGTAAGGGAGCCACGGTGTCCCTCTACACTGTGTTTGCTGCTGTTGACTGCGTCACCTCCTTACTAACTAAATCATGGATCTGTGCATGTTGTATTCGTGGTTGTCTGAAGCGTACAAGAAGAAGGTGCTCCTTGGACCTCTGCCCTAAGAAAAGCCGCAGCATCTATAGGCGCCTCATCAGGCCTCAGCAAGCACTAGGAACCAGCTCGTGGATTAGACTCACGAGTATCAGGTAAAGTGCTCTCTACCACTTCGCTACCATTGTTGCTGCTTGTCTTTTCTGATTCCTGGTAAAGATTCTCCATGTAGTGATATGGATCTCTATTTCTGCTACTAACTGTGCCTTCTATTTATTATAGTGGACACATTTGTTGTTGCTTATTTGCTTAACTGGGCCAAATCAACAAGTACACATGGCATAGAAACTAAGTGTGCTCTCTACATCCCAGATGTTGCTTAGTCGATTTGGCATATGGCAAAAATGAATACATAGTTCATGCAGAGCTTCAATGTGTCATCCAGATTTATTGTAGGAAGTATAGCAGTTGCCTTTAAATTGACTCAGTGTGGGCTGTGGCTTTAGTTTGATCATCAGTATGGACTGTGGTTTAGTTTGATCTTCATTTACTCCACATTCAGTTACTGTGGCTTAAGATTATTTTTTCCTATTTTTTTGCTTCCTATGGATAGTTCAAGAGAATCTATAGCTTAATTGAAAACCGAGTGTAGCTCATGAGAAATATGGAAAGCTTACTTATAAGACAGGGCCCCCTCCCCCTCCAAACTGATCACCCTATTTTGTAATGTTTATTCTTGTTAAAGTTTATATGCATGTGTTCTTTTTCTTGCTTGCTTGCCTGCCTGTCAGTACGACTGAGACTGAATTGAATTGAACTGAATTTCAGGGACAACTAGGAGTCTAGGACAGTTATTCTTATTAAGTTGTTCTTTGACATGACAAATTTCTTCGAATTTTGCAAAGTCATGATGCTCTGTTAGATGTAAACAAATAGGACACTGATAACGCTGTTCACTTTGACTATCTCATTTACTAATCCCATTAGGTGCAAGACAGTTCCTTGCTTTTCTCCTATTGTCTGTCTACATGTAAATTTAATGGGTAAAAAGAACCTTGTAGCTATGGGGAACTTGACAATGTCGCTGAAATAATTAGACTATCAGCATAGAAAGCAGCATTTTATGGATGGCAAAAAACTATTTTTAATTATATCTGATGCAAGGTTAGCTGGTATTTCTCTCCATGTTGATAGAAGGGCAAAAAAACCAGGTCTTATGTTGCTCCATTTTAGCCATATGTGGCAATTTGCCAGAAGCCAATTTAACAAAATAATACTCAAACTGCCTGCATTAATTTTGCAGAGAAGAGTTTGGCAATTTAGTTTTTTTGCAGCCAACAAACACGAAAGCAGCATAAAGCTGGACCAGTTGTTAATTAGACAAATAAGTGTTCATGACTCCACATAAAAGAAATCAAGCCCATTCCCTGTACAGCTAATTTTTATTTTACCATTCCCATGTTTTCATTGCCCACCGTTATTAAGAGTTGGTACATGTAGTTGATATAATATTAGTTGTCGATCATTGGTTGAAGATCATCTTACTTTCCAATTCCAGGTGGGTATTTCATTTGTCGGTGTCACTAGCTTTAGTGGACCTGAAGGTCTCTTAGTGTGGATGCCTCTCACTGCACCATAGATGACATAAAGTTAATGAAGTATAGTATAAGTAACTTTGAGTGATTTTGGTGGTTCCCCTTATTCTAAATGACAATATCCATTTAAGACAACTTTCACTATTGCATTCACTATTCCAATAATCATTGGTACGAGCTCGGTCGAAACATAGTAGTGTAAGTATTGCTGGGACAGTTCATCTTTCGGTGTAGGGCTAAAAATAGAGTTCATCATTAAGTATCTACAATAATTGATTCTGATTGTGTTGCTGCTTGCCTAGTTTAGTCTGCGTTACTAGTGATATAAAATTTCATAAAGCTTAGAGGGAGTTTTTCATATATTGCTATGGAGTTTTTCATATCCTATGAATGCAACCACAAGTGGAGTCTCTCTCTCTACTAATAGTAGAGGAGAGTTATGTTACACATATAGGTGAAGGTGCCTATAATAAAGTAACAAGTGTGCATACTTGATAGTGTACTAGACTATCTAGGCTCTCAATATGCTCCTGTCTTTCTTTCAAATAAGTTGACAATCTTCAAATAGATAACAGTTGTTCTATAGAAGCTTAAAAACCTGGCCAAAAGACCCTTGCATTTTTTTTCATAGACAACACCTTTGCACATGTGAGTTTTATTCCTGATCAAGTATTCTTTGCCTCTTTGCAAGTGTTTGATGAGGCTATCTCTAAATTGCAGCAAGAGGATCAAGGTGCTCATGGTGGCTATTTTTGTTCATGACTTCCTAGTGACAAAAGATTATGTTGCGTGAGCAAAACATATGAGTTGTGAGCTGTACAGGCCGACATCTTAATTGAGTAGGTAGTTCAGTGAGCTAGCTTGGTTATTGCCTTTCTATCATTGCATTGCAAGGGAAGTGACATTGTCCAAGGTTGACATATTTTCTTCCATCACTGCTATCCACATTTGCTAAGCACTAAATTGATGTCTTCTTGCTGATTATTTTTCTAGGCTTTTAGTATGCATCGCTCTAAATGTGTCACCTTATAGCAGCTAAAGTTCGAGTAAATGGTCTTCTCTTTGACAGAAGAATAGCTCAATACCACAGGTAGTTTATGAGGTCCTTGTTCTCATATAACCATCAGCCAAGGAGCTTGTGCTACGGTATGGTTCTGCTTCTCTATGCCTTCTTGTCATTGCCTTCTCTTAAGCTTCGATGTGTTGTGTGGTTGCACTCTTTGTGGAAAAAGGCATAATCTGAAATCCACTTGATCTCCTCATGGATAAAACATGGATTTTTTGAATTATTTATATTTCGATAGTTGAAGGTTACCAAGGCATCACAATATATCTTTGCAGCACCAGAGTTTTTTATGCATGAGTGATTGACAAGTTTGCTCAGAGATAAAATAGCTTCTAGATCATACTCACATAAAAAAACCTCCAGCTAAATCAAACATAGCCTTCCATGCATGTTTCCCTGTCAATACCTGGAGCCTAGCCACTTCAAGTTATAGCATGTTCTGTTACTTGTCACATCATTAACTACTAATTATTCTGCGTGATATGAGCATTGTTCCTAGCTCGCACTTTTGACACATATCGAAGTTTGAAGGATATTTTTCTGCACTGTTTGAAGGATATTTTATTCATTTTTCAGGTGTGGAGAAGGGAAAGAAACATGGACAATCTGTTTATTGCAAGCTGAGGTAAAGTTCAGTATTGTGGTTCCTTTTTATGAAATTTGGCTATTAATTTTAGAGAACCTCTTGGAGTTGATCTTATTGGCTGTCTTTCTCCAACTTTGGTAAAAATTGTCGCTAATTGGATATTCATATTGCATTTCAGCCATCCTGCAAGGCCTAGGCAGCGTACCTGATGGTGTCGACAAGTTAAAAGGGCTCATCGAAGCTGTGTTTTGTTTTGAACCTATTAGAGACAAGACTCTGAGCTCACTGTTAGTCAAATTTGGGCAGTGAGCTTTAGGTGTTAGTGAGCTAAGCTTTTGGTTACAAGTGGTGGATGTATGACTTTTGGTCACATGAGGTAGATGTAGGGATGTTGATGGCTTGCTCATGCACAAACTTCATTTTTGCGAGCTTCTAATCTATTTTGTACTTATGAACTTAAATCTGACCGACCTTACATTGGGCTACTCATATATGAATGAATCAGTTATGGTTAATATATCTTGTAATGAATGTGTGTGCATTGATAATAGATTATTTTTGGGTTATTATGTACTGTTGATTAGCAACATATATATTGTCTCTATGTGAATGATTCGCGTTGGATTGTTAGTTGCTAAAAGTATTTATAGCTTCAAACTATGTGTCGATATATGTACCCCCTAAGGCATCAGACTGTCGGTCGCTAAAAACTTGTCGGTCGGCGTAGGCTATACCGACGCCACTTTCAGCGGCTGCAAGTAAGTGTCGGCATAGATCTATACCGACCGACGGAGCGTCGCTATATCGACCTATACTGACCGACGGTACGTCCCTAGTCTGGGGCTGTGGTGTAGTGGCAACCGCAATTAATAGAAGGCGAAGGGCCACCTCACTTATGCCGAAGAGAATACGGCATTTGGTAACTGAGGGCAGAAGATCGAGGGGTTCTCTCAATAAAGGTCATGTTTTCAGACTTAATCGGATCAAGGATAGAAATCTGGAATTGGCTATTTTCAAATTGGCTCTTTAGCCAAAACAAAAAATACAATGAGGCGACAGAAAGTATGGTTATCATTGATTCCACACAAGATACATGTTGATATACAAATTACAAGTCTAGAACATCCTGGATTGCTTTTAATACTTCTAGCCGGATAGCATCAACTTCTGCGATTTGTTGCTTGTCTTCTTTGGCTGATCTAGGAATATCCTCAAGGCTGCTGCGGATGACCCTGCCTTCTCTGACTTTGGCCAACAACTCTTGTTTCTTTTGCTTGATGGCATCGGGTATTTGAGCTAGGTTGGACTTATGACGATCGATGGCAGCCTTCATGTTCTCCAGCTCCTTCTCAAGTTCTGCACGCTTGATTTCTAGTTGAGACAACTCCGGATCGATCCTAAGGGAGGAGTTCTTCAAATCATCAATCAGCTATGTCAGCTCTTTAGCCTCTTTCCTGTTGGAGTTCCTCTTGGCCAATAAAGTTTCATGGTTGGACAAGTTCCTCTGAGCCTTTTCACCTTTGGGGCTTGATCTTCAATAATGGATAAATGTGACAAGACTCTAGAAAGAACTAGGGATGGATTATCCTTAATAGCCAAGAAGACTCTTTGCAT